CCAGCCAGTTAATGCTGTAATAGAATCTGGCTCTTTTACCAGCACTTCTCTGCTTGCTTTTAACCAGAAACATTCCCAGAGACTTATTTTGCTCACTGACTTGCCCAGATCTTTCCTCTGCTTCTGTGCGGTTTTAAGGACAGGCTCAAATTCAAAGCTTTTCGCACTTCTGAGGTCTGTCACACAGCAGTGTCCATCAAAGCTGTGCCCTATGTAGACCTGGATCTGAAGGAGATGCTGGCTCCAGGGAGCTGTTCTGACCATGCTCAGCCCAGCCCATGCACTCTGCACTCCCCTGTAACTCCATGCCTCTCACTGGCTGCCTTGTGGAGAGCTACAGATGATAAGAATGAATAATGATTCCCTCTTTAGCACCCCCAGCCTCTGACAACAGAGATACCCATTAGAAGCTTCACCTTTTCATTTAACTTTATTAAATGGTGGCAAATGGCTTATTCTGGGCTTTCCTACAGCCTTTTGTACCTAAACATGACATAAATGGAGCATGTGTATTCACCACTTCCAAATTAACACTTGATGACTTGTATACGCAGAATGAGACCCCAGTTAACAACATGAACACAGGCTGGATTCACCAGGGCTTTAGTCTTTATGCAGAGCCCATTTGGCTACAGAGACATGCAAGGCACAGTTTTCATTAGATGACTGGAAACATCAGTCCTGGGTATCATTTTAGGCAGGGTAAAGCCTGACACTCAAGAAGAGACCAAACACCATCACATTTCCTGGTATAAAGTGGTACCCATCTTCAAGAGTGAGAACGCAACCACCTCCGCTTGCTCAGGAGCAAAGTTCAGTGTCCAGGGAGCTAATAACACCATGGACCATGCATGGACAAGAGCCAGAGGAAGGAGAGGGTTAATAGATCAACTGTAGTGTCTGAAAGCGATATAAAAAACCCCAGAAAACACCATACATCAGGTCTTTCTCACTCCTCAACCCCCAGGTTACCACATTACGATACAACTTCAAGTGCACAGTCAATGTCAGTATGGAGAAGACATCTGCTTTCAGCAGAACACCCCTACCCCCAGGCACCACCACACCAGGGGCCCTGGTGCTGCTAAGTCAAAACAGAGCAAATACACTGACAGCTTTTGGCATGGAAAGGCTCCCACTGCAAGCTGCAAGAGTTCTCGTTTGCAAGGCAACGCCATTTCATGTTTAACAGGAAAATCTACTCTGAAAAGGAGCACTGAAAACTGGCACTTTCATCCCCCCCAGACACGCTCCTGTGTATATTTAGTATTGTATTCACAGGCTTGGATGATAACAAGCAAACCTGTATTCTACTGACACAGGAGGCAATGTCTGATTCAAATTTCAGCCCCTCTTTTACCCCCCAAAACAAGGTATCACAATCACTTTTTAACCTAAAAACCACCTAAGCTTTTTAACAAAGCCACACTAGAAAAGGGTAATATTTAAAGCCACGCATCACCTCACTCCTCCCTTTGGCTTTAAAAACCAGGAGCAAGTAACAGCTAGAACAGAGCTTGATCCTTGTGCTCCCCCCCTTGTTACCTGCTCATCCACACCTATGGCAGAAGATGAGTACCCAAACCTCAAATAAACCCACTCATTTTGAGAGCCTCAGGACCAGCTCTGATGAGAAAAGCAGTTACTAAGGTTTAACCAGTCTATTCTCCCCCAAATCTACCTCTGTCTTTGTGCCTAAAACCTTAAATGCCAGCGACATTGCAGGCTCTGCCTAAAAACTAACAAAGGAGAAGTGCCACAGAAAGATAAAGCACTTTGTTGCTCACACAACCCTAGGGACAGAGCAAGTAAAGCAGAGCTGGATCCTTACCTGCCAGGGCCTGGTTCACCTTGCTGGGTTTGGGCATCTTGACAGGCAGGGCTGGGGCGCTGGAGAGGAAAACAAAGGGACAAGCTCAACAGCACAGCTCCATCACCAACAAAGCACACAACGCAGCGATGCAGTGTTCCCTCCTGAGGGCCAGGGCCATGGATAAAGAAACAGGGATCAATTGCTTTGATGAGCCCCAGCTGAGACCCCCACCCAGCCACTGGTCCAGCAGCTACATTTAAGGAGCCCAGCTCTTACCAGAGCTACCTAGAAGGTATACCCATCTCCTCCTAGCTGGATGCTGGTCTTGAGTTATCTCTTGCTGGGGCTCTTGGTAGACCCTGTTGTCAACTCACTGCTCTGATCCTGTGATGCTCCAACACAGAGCTTCCCGTGAGCAGCTGACCTGCACTTCAGCACTGGTTTAGGACAGGAACATGAAGCCAGGAACCACTAGGATGCACCAAAGCTTATCTTAAACTTTCCAGGTAACTTGGTGTCCAGCCAGAGAAACACTGCTCACCTGAGCATAAACCTCCACGCTGTATGAGAGGTTGTAGCTGTACAGATCAAAGGAAGCAAGATCAACCCCACTGCCCTCCAGATGGGGAAACTGAGGCAGGGAAAGGCCAAGAAAGTGCTCGAGCACATGCAGCTGCAGCCCTGAGATGAACAGAATGAGGCCCTGCGCATCCAAGGGCTTACTGCAAGGTGTGGGAATGAGGAGAAAAGGTTGAAAGAGACTTTTGGCACACACCTTCCTTTGGAAATCAAGAGGATTTGGGCATAAACCATCCCCTTCAGGTTCCTAACCTACTTGTTTAGGCAGCATTTCCCAGCACTGGCAGCTGTGCTGCGAGTTAGTTTGGGATATGTGGGCAGCCAGGGCCACACAATTAGCTGATGGCAGGAATCAGGAAGGAAAAGATGAGCATGAAAACTGATGAGGGGGTCAGCAGAAGAGAAAGCAACCTGGATCTACATGAGCAGAGCAGGAACTTTTGAAATCCAACATGCTGGCACCAAGAAGTCACCCACAGACCTCATCTCGGGTGGTGAATGTGTCTGGGATGGATGCAGGCCCATGTGCATCACTGCAGTTAACACACGATGCATTCAGACAACCATCTCCAAGGACTCCCCAAAATTACATCAAACTTGACCAGCTTCTTAGGAACTCACTTAGAGACTGAGGTGGTTAAGTGCCATCAGCTGCTTAAGGGGAACCTAATCCTCTCCAGCTGGGATGCAAGAGGATTCTCCCCACTGTGACCTCCCAGATAGAGGTCCCCCCTTTCAGCCTTGCTAAAATCTTTGTCCCCAATTCCATGATGACGACCAGAGCTCAAGAGACTTGTCCTCACAACAGGGACCCATCCCCACCTCCCTCCTCTCCTACCTGCTGCAGTTTGAAATGGGTTCCCACACACGTGCTGAGCTTGCTGAAGAACCCCCAGGGTAAGGATGCAGGGCTTGATGCTGCACTGACAGCCTGGCCAAGAGACCAGCTCATCCAGACCCTTAAAAGGCTCCCCAGACTGCAGAGGTTTCCCTTCTGTCTCTTTCAAAGACTGTGTTTTTCCCCTCTGCTGCCCCTAATTTTGCAACGTCAAATGATGCAATGGCTTGTTCTCGCCACAGCCCAATTCAAACCCACCGAACGCAGTGGAAATCCTCAAAGGGCTTTGAACCACGTGCTGTGACTCCTCTTTATGAGTTTTCTCTTTCCCGATTCAGCCTCTTGCTCAGGTGTTTTCCTCCTCCTTCTCTCTCTCATCCCTTTGCTTCATTTCTGCTCCTATGATCCTTTTCTAGATGATGCCCAGTAGCAGGGCTGCTCCCTCTCCTGCTGCATTCAAGGAGGGGTTTTGAGGACCAGATAATGTAAAGGAACTTGAGAGAACTGCTCCCCAAAATCAGAGAGGCATTGGACTCCCTTTCCTCCTCCAACTGAGCAGCCAAGAAGCCAACATGATGCTGGGCACCCCCTAACCCAGCCTGTGACCCTGCGCATGACTGATACTGAAGAGCTTGTGCTTCATCATCACCCCACGAAGTGCAGCAGCCACCTTGGGTGCTTTCACTTCTCCATGGAAGGCAAAAACACACCAGAGCACAAAGCTGAACCTTCTGCTGTGCCAGGAAGGCAGACAGGCAGAGAGGAGTCCTTCCAGGGGGCTGGAACAAAAGTCCTTACACCTGAGGTTGAAGAAAGCAAACCCAGGGCTGATCTGGGAAGGGGATGGAGTTAATTCAAGAAGACCACCAAAGAAATTCGTCACTCTCCTGCATTCAATTCCAAGTCACCCAGGAACCAGAGCTTCTACAAACTTGTCCTGGTTTCAGCTGGGATTAATTTTATTCCTACTAACTGGTGCAGTGCTCTGTTTTGGATTTACTGTGGGAATAATGTTGATAACACACTGATGTTTTAGGTGTTGCTGAGCAGCATCAAGGCCGTTTCAGCTTCTCATATCATCCTGCCAGCAAGGAGCAATTGCACTGTGCATCACTTGTTTTGGATACTCTAATTATTTTCATTATTATAATTATTATTATTTTCCTTCCCTTTTCTGTCCTATTAAACTGTCCTTATCTCAACCCACAGATTCTATTTCTTTTTCCTTCCAATTCTTTTCCCCATCCCGCTGGGGGGGAAGCGAGTGAGCGGTGGCACGGTGTTTAGCTGCCTGCTGGGTTAAACCATGACAGAAGCGAGGACAGCCCTTGAGATTTACAGAGGAAAATAGATAAGCAACTGATGCACTTGCAAGCAATCCAGTGTTGGAAGCTGCGACTGCACTGCAGATGAATTACTCTCCATCAGCCACGAAACAGTCGCTGATCAGCTGCACCCCTGGTGTGAAGGCAAAGTGTGCCAGCTCTGAGTGCTGGAGGCTTTTTAAGCCAACTGATGTGATGAGGGAGAAACCAAATACTTGTTATTTCACGTGGGCTGAACACAGGCACATTCAGTTAGCAGCATCTCAGCTAACGACGTCGTAGGATGCTCTGACCCACGCGCGCCGTACGTGCTGTGATTTCTCTTACAGCTGCAGAAAGCCCAGCCCTGGGGCTGATGAAACCGAGGGAAATCCACGCTGCGTGGAGGTACCTCTGCCACAGCACTGCCTGGGGAGATCTGCAGCCACAGCGCATGGGAGGAAGTGGTGTCACGTCAGAAAAGGTGCAGAAACGCTACTCGCAGCCTGCCCTGGCTCTGAAGTGGGGTTTTTTGGAGGAAGAGGTGAGAAGAGACTGTTGTAGTATAACATGGGCTGTGCCTCAACTCCAAAAGCAGGGTGCCAGCAGCACGAACACACATATTTAACCCATTAGCTCAGACTCAAAGTACTCCAGCATCCCCATGCCAGCGCTGGCTGCTTGGGAAGAGCTGAAGCCAGGCCAGGGTATGGTTCTTTTGATTTACTCAAACCAGTCTCAGTGAGGAGAAAACATGATGCAGACAGGCTGGAGTGGGTCTGGGGTTAGGGGGGGTCTGGAAAGCATCAGTGCAAGAGCAAGCACTGCAGTGCACAGGGATGAGAGGGATCCACCAAGATGCCTGCTCCTGCTCACAGGGGACAGTCCTACCCAGTCAGTGCCTTTGGTCCCAGCCAGACATTCAGGCTGTGCTTGCCACACCTGAAAGTCAATGCCTGCATTCCCTGAACGTTTCCTGGGATTGACTCCTCCACCCTGGCCCAATTTTGTCCAGCTGTTTGCTGCAGCTCCTTCTCTCCCACTGCTCTATATGCTGGATGTGACTGAGCACAAGACGGGTCACGAGGTTGTGGAGAAGGGCATGCAAAATAAGACACTGGCCTCAAAGATTCAGCAAGGGGATCCTGATGAGGTTTCCCATCGCCAGCTTCCAGGCAGTCTGCTCTGGGGACAGACAGGGCAGACTACTTCAGCATGACAAAACCACTCAGTTCTCCATGATTTCAGTACACTGCAACACCAGTGAGACAGCAAAGCACAAGACCAAAGAGGAAGCTGCCACTTCAAGCACTGGGCAGCCAGGTTGGAGCTGAACATCACTCAGGCTGAACATACACAATATCCTAATGGAGCAGAAGTAGGGAAGTCCAAGTTCTTACTCATCCTCTTCACCTGACACAGCTGAGAGATGCAGAGGAGAGAGAAAAGGCCCTTCCCAGGTTCTGATCGCTTGGTTACACCTCCTGATCCTACAAAACATTCACTGTGGGTCATTCCCCATGGGAGATTCGGGGATGCAGTACCAGACCCTTCTTAGGAACACCACAGGACTGCAAGCATCCTTCCCCAGTCCCCAGAACTCCCATTCTCCCTGCTTTTAAATGAAATCCAACCCCCAAGCTGCCTGCCTTATTTGTAGGCACAACCTAGACCAGCATCAAAGCCATATAAGCTCAGAGGGGCCAGCAGAGCTACAGTGGGGATTTTTCTGGCTGGGGCACTAATATATCCCCCTGAATATTGTTTCCTGCAGCTTTACCCACTCATATAACAAGCAGGACACTCCTCACTGTGTTTCAAAGTGCCCTTCTCTCTAATTACACAGCACAGCACATGCAATAGGGTAGTTCCTGCCCCAGGGATGGATGCTTTACTGCGTGGGATGGGAAGGATCATGCCAGGAGGTGGCTGGGAGCTGACCTCTGCTTCCCAGATCCAGTTAACAGCAGTGATAGAAGGACACAACCCTTGCCATGACACGCTGCATCTGCAGATCTCAGCACTGTCTGTGAACCAGGCTGGATTCATTAACTGTGTTTAATACACCGGAGGAAACTAATGCACCAAGCAGCAAAATAACTTGCCCACATGTATTTAATGCATTAGCAGCAGAGCCAAGGATATTAGCATCTATTTAAGCCTTGGCATGCCTGTCAGGGTTTTCCAGTGTCTCTGACCCTCTTGAGAGCACAGGGAAATTAAACCTGCATTTTGAAGTGCTGGAGTTTCACCCTCTCACTCCAACATCCACCCTCCAGCAAGCAGGAAATACATTTAATCACTGCCAATGCCACAAAAGCCCAGGCATGCCCGTGCTACACTAACAGCACTGGGGGCTATTCCTGCCTGCCTATGAGAAATAACTGTCACAACCACACAGGGAGTTAAGGCAGCTTTCCAGGAGGAACTACAGCTCCTTCTCAGCTCTGCAGGAGAGATGTTTGCTTCAGTGCTGCCATTTTTAGCTGCCTTCCCTAAAAAAATTGAGTGTACGTAACTGCACCGTGGTTCAGGCTCTCCCCAATAGCTTTGGAGCCCTTCCTGCTCTGAGGCAGGAGCTGGGGCATCCCTGCAAGCTTTGTGCAGATAAGCAGTTCTGTAAACCCAAGTAATCCGACAGGGCTGCTCTGGAGCCAAACGCTGCAGGGTGAACACAACACAACCTTTATTAGACACTGGAGGATCCACCATGGCCCACTGCTTCCTTCCTTTTGGGCTGTGAGCATGGGCCAAGCACAGGAATTGCACATCACAGCTAAGAGGAATGCCTGATGCAGACAGAAACTCATATAACATAATTAGTGCAGGATAATTAGTGCTTCATCATCACTGCCACAAAGGCTGAAGGAGGAAAAAGGGAAGCAACTGCAAGGGAAGGGAATTAAGCACCATACTCCAAGTGCAGCTGAGGTGGGAAGATTGGGAACCTAAGGGATAAAATAACCCTGGAATATTCTGGGTGTAGGAATTAAATGAAGCACATTGTTAGAGTTGGCTACTCAGGTTTCCCCTAATTCATAGAAATGGGAGTATTTTGTGCTGGAACATGGGTTTCACGAGCCTGAGCCTGTAACCCCAGCCTGGAGCTATTACACCCACCCAGTGGCATTTCCAACTCAAAGCCAGCACAGGGGTGACAGGGGAAAAGCCATCTCGAGCTGTCAGCTGGTACTCACAAAGCCCTTCCACTATAGTGGAAGACAGAGATTGCCCCCTGCGTGCATGTGTCTGTCTGGCAGGGAGAAGGGAGAGCACCCCTGGGCAAAGCTAATGCAAAGGACTGGAGATCCAGACATCGTCCCTCATCCATGAAGAGCTTCCAATGCACATCTTTGTTCTGCCCTTCTCTGGGGTCCTTTTGGGTAAGCCCTCAGCTGCTGCCTCCCTCCGGGCTCAGCACATGGCCATGGGCTGGATCTGTGAACCACACATGCTCCTGTGGTGGGTGTGGAAAAGAGAGGCTTCCACAGACACTTCGAGTGGAAAACATCGGGGTTAAGGAATAGAAAGGGAGGTGTAGACATAAAGACCACCCTGCCTGCAAAACCGCCTCGTGATGAGCCCTGCAGACAAGCAAGTGCCCATCAGCATCCCCACGTCCTGCCCAGGCTGGGGTTCTGCCAAGGGTTCACACCACACTCGCCTTCTCCTTGGGGCATGATCTGTGCCCAGCAAAGATTTAACCATACGATGCCTTCACAGGGCTGTTGCATCAACCCAGCATAAGCTCTGGAGCAACACCTGATGGGGGGGGTTTGACCCTCCAACTGCCCCAGCAGCTCCCAGCACCCAGCCCAGCAGGCTGCCAGGACAATGTCCTCCCCAGCATCCTAGCTGGGCATCTCCTGGTCTCCTCCTGGCTGCCCCTCTCCTCCCAGACAGCATCATCTGTGCCATGGGCTCAGTTCATGGCAAGAAGATCGTGCCTCAAACATCTCTCATCCTTCCTTTTAGGACATCAGTAGCATACAACTTACCCAGACCCTGATGGGCTCCAGACGGGCTCCTGGCACAACTGCTGCAGCATCTGGCTCTTCCTTTTCAATCCTCCCACCCTGACAGTCACTGTGCAAATCACACTGGGGCTCTGGGCAAGGACGGGGGCTCCAGGCAGCCCCATGCACTGACCAGTGGCTCCTGCGAGAGGGAGAATTTGGCAGCTTCTTCAAGAGCCTTACTGGGGGCTCCTGCAGGCAGTACCAAGGTCTGATCTTCAGCCCTATTAGAAAGGGACTGGAATAGAGAAGCATTGTGGATGCTTAAGATGCCCCAAAAAAGCACCAGGTGCAAAGAAAGCACCCGAAAAAGACCATGAGAAAGAAGAACAGGATAGGAGAAGTCATTTCACTCACATGACCCTGAGGAGGGAAAGTCCTGATATGACACTAAGGGAAATATCTCCAGATTCACCATCTTAAAACACAAATGAGATTCAAACCTCAAACCCCTGTGCCTGATGTAATCAGCAGAACGTGCTTTCAACCTCCTCCTACATCTCTTATCTCTATGTACTTGGGGAAGCTTGGACAGGTAAATCAGCCCTGGCAAGGTGTGATTTACCTACTCAGGTGCTCACACAGCGGCTCAGCAGCTGGATTATGGAGGGTGAAATGCTTATACTGCTCTGTACACGTCAGACATCTACAGAGAGAGCAATCACACAGCCCTTGCTTGGTCCTCAGTTTAATGCTGGCAGATACTAGCTGCAAATATTATCATAGAAGGGCCACAAAGACCTCTGCTAGCAAAGGCTTGCACACAGGAGGAGGCAGTGGGATCTGGCTTGGTTTGGATGTCCAAGCTTCCCAGAGGCCACCCTACAAGAACATGGAGTGAAGTGCCCCACTTCACAAGGGTAACACTGATCTCCCCAAGCCCAAAATCCCCGCTGGAGCCACTGCTGCAGCCCCACTCTATCCCAGAGGGAATAACTGTGCCATGGAGAGGAGCTGAGCTGCCAGACCACAAGACTCTGCTCTTCATTTAGGTGGCAAAAGCTGAAAGGCCCAAAGTGAAGTGAAGCCCTTCCTCCCACACTGGTAAGCTGCAAACACAGCCCTCCTTTGGCTCCAGCCGCTCGGATGGGAGCTGAAACCCATGTTGTGACAGTTTCAGTCCTGTCAGAGAAAAGCCAGGGTTGCTGAAGAAAGATGAAGGGAAAAGACAGGGCAAAACCCTCACAAGGTGAGGCTTAGCTGGCTTTTAGATCACTTACAGTCCTGCTTGTGCTTCCTGACCTCCAACATCACAACAGCACCTCAACACATGCTTCAAAATGAACTTCTTCCATGCTTATCCAGTTTCATCTCTGCTCTGCATCAGCACTTAGCCTAAGGAATAGTCTGGACACTGCTCAAATTGCTAGTGTCACCCCGTGGATCTGAGAGGGATCAGTATGGTTCAAGGTATCAAAGGAAGGGGAAAGTAAGTTACTGGTTTGGTTTTCTAAACATCTTCACCATGGATTTGGTGGGGTTTTTTCTGATGGTTCACCTTGAAAATGTCCAACATGGACTTCCTGATTTTGTCCGAGGTCTCAGCCACACAGAGCGAGTCCTGTGGTCCCTCCTTGAAGGGGAAGAGCTTTGAACACAGAGAAGCTTTCCACTCTATGCTAACTGTGTATTTTGAATTAAATAAGGGTGGTCACAAATCCCCTGTCCATTCACTCAGACCCCTCAAAGCTATTTTTAAGTGTAACCCACAACACCACCAATTACTATTAGTTCTCTCATATCTGCAGAATCACAACCTGACTCCTTTCTCCAGTGCTTCAGGGAGACTAGAAGACAGGGACTATATTTCAAGTGAGAGAAAAGGAAGGGAAAGCAGAGAAGAAGCCTTTTCACCCACCGCACTGGAAGCAAAGGCACAAACCTCTCTCTCCTTAGGAAGAAGACCTTTGTTAAGCGCTCTGGGACAGAGAGGCTCCTACATAACAAAGACCTGAGCACATCAGAGAATCATTTAGGTTGGAAAAGATCAGCTCCAACCATTAACTCAGCACTGCCAAGTCCACCACTAACCCATGTCCTTCAGTGCCATATCTACACATCTGTTAAATACCTCCAGGGATGGTGACTCCACCACTTCCCTGGGCAGCCTGTCTCAGTGCTTCACAACCCTTTTGGTGAAGACGTTTTTCCTACTCCACATGCACAGCATTTAGAGGTGAATTAGGGTCTGTACCTGACTCCATTAGATGCAGACAGTCCTGTGCTGGGGCCCCCAGCTTGAGGCAAAGCCCAGGTGCTCTGTGCATTGAGTCTTGGTGTTGACCTTGCTCCAGACAAAGTCGGTTTGTTATAGGGCACGAAGCCGACGCTGGAAGAGCTTACTGATGCTGTCCTACCCTGATGAGCAGTAGAAGAGTTGGGAACGTTTATCATGGAGTGGCGGTAGCGTGTGGTGATGGGACCAGTCCCACTGTTTAGCCAGCACTGCTGGCAGGAACAAGCCACCCCTGTGTGAAGGGGTGTTGGGGAGGTTGTCACTGGGTACGGGGTGTCCAAGCGCCTCTGAACACTGCGGCGGAAGCTTGTGTTCTTGTTGGTCTGGACTTGAGCCACAACGTCAACTATGTAGTTGTAGCCCAGGGATTTGAGATCTACTTGCTGGTGGTGCTTGGCACGGGCCTCCTCCAGGAGCACACAGACCTTCATCTCGTAGGGGGACCACCCGCCTTCGTCGTTCTGCCACTCCCAGACGATGCCCTGCCCGGCAGCAGAGTCCCCAGGGAAGAGGTGCCTGCGGACAGCGCGCATCGTCCCTGTGCAGGGAGAGACAAAACCATCTTGTGAGCAGAGAATCACAGGAACACAGACTGGTTTGGGTTGGAAAGGAGCTTAAGCTCATCCAGTTCCAACCCTCTGCCATGGGCAGGGACACCTCACACTAGACCATGTCACCCAAGACTCCATCCAACCCAGCCTTGAACACTGCCAGGGATGGAGCGTTCACAACATCCTCGGGCACCCTGTGCCAGCGCCTCAGCACCCTCACAGGGAAGAGTTTCTGCCTTACAGCTAACCTGAATTTCCCCTGTTTAAGTTTAAACCCATTCCCCCTTGTCCTGTCACTACAGTCCCTGATGCAGAGTCCCTCCCCAGCATCCTTATAGGCCCCCTTCAGACACTGGAAGCTGCTCTGGGGTCTCCAGCAGCTCCTCTTCTCCAGGCTGAACAGTCCCAACTTTCTCAGCCTGTCTCCATATGGGAGGTGCTCCAGCCCCTGCTCATCCTCATTGGCCTCCTCTGGACTTGCTCCAACAGCTCCAGTGGGGATGCTGTCTCAGGGACTCATTTCTGCACAGACCTGTGGTGTCTACATCAGGGTGGCTTCCTCACCTCTCCCTCAACAGGGGCACTAACAGGCTTTATCTTCCCAACAGGACTGGGTTTGCCCATGAAGCTCAGAGAAATGCAACATCCCCCCATCCTGAGATCCCTGTCCCTCTGCCAAATCTGATTGTGGGCTGGCAACAGGTTCAAAAGCTGCTGGGAGGAAGGGTGGGAAAGAAGGGAAGGAGAGAGGATGCAGAGACAGACACACCCAGCACAAAGGCACAGCGAGCACATATGCCTCCCTGACGTTAAAATAGAGTAAAAAAAGAAGTAAATCAGGCTGAGGCACAGATTTGGTTTAAAAAAACCCAACTCCCACAGCCCTGACAACAGAGTAACTATAGAGACAGGACACCATCGGGAAGTGTGCGTAAGGGGCTGAACACCCACTCTGCTACACAAGGGTCTGGGTAATTTTGCTCTTGGAGGAGCAGGTAAAGTCCTACAAGTGGAAGAACAAGGACTTTGGAGAGGGGACAGGCAGGGCCAGCTCCTCCAGGCTCCTGACTGCTGGCAGACAGAGCAAGGCTAGAGAGGAGGAGACAATGAAGTGATGTGGAAACTGGAGAGAGCAGCTGTTCACACAAAGGAAGAGAAATGAAAGCAGACACTCAACTCTTGCGGTGCTGCTCGACAGCAACAGCAGGAGCATGAAACGCCCTGGAAGCCTGGCTCTCCTGGGTCACTTTACTCCTCTCTTTAAGAAAGGAGAAGCCTAATGAGAGGGAGTTAAGCCACCCAACAGGACAGAAACCCAGCAACCTCTGCAAACACAGGTTCCTGCACCAGGGTCAAAGCTGCTGCTGCTGGGAAAGCCCTCGGCAGCACCTGCACTGAGAAGGAGGAGCAGGAAATGCTGCGGGGCAAGCAAGCCTGGGGCTGCAGGAGGTGGGGTGAACAAGGGTGCAGGAGGAGCTCAAAGAACAGCACCAAGAGGAAAAAAACCAAATCAAATAAAGCCTCTGAAGAGGCCCTGAGAGCTGTGACACTGCTGCAGAACCCCAGGTGAAAACAGGCATGTTTACAGACATCCACACCCCCAAAGCCTGTGCAGAACTGCCCCAGGATGTTGCTGAGGATATTCCACCAAACAAGCACATCCCAAGGAAGAGGGAGGACACACAGGACTCCACACTGCTGAAGCCCAACTGCTACCTGTGTTCAGGCTCTGGCTGAATGCTGGCTGGAGCACCTCTGCTTCATGCTGCTTTTATTTCTACCCCATAGCACTGGGATATTGTGGAAAGCACTAGGACTTGGCTCAAACTATTAACTGCCTCCTCACTGCTAAAGTTCTGCTCAACAGCATGAAAGTCACATCTCTGCTCCTACCACACTCCCAGGCTTCTTTCTATATAGTAGTGGTGGTTTCTGTGCAGTGCTTTGGGGATCAGACCATAACCAGACCCTGTGCTGAGCTGCAGGTATTTCCCACATGTCATTGGGGAAACTAGGTCAGTAAAGACAGACCTGAGCTCCAGAGCTGACATAAAGGCTGAGGTTCTCCCGCAGGCAGAACGCAGCAGACCAAGGAATGGCAGGACTTGTGTTTCTGCTGGGAGCTGGAGGCACAGGGGGCTGGAATGGCCTGCTTCAGGGATGAGCAGCCAGGGAAGGTCCAGCACTTCCTCCCAGACTGCGGCTTCAGTGGCCAGAGCAGCACCAAACATCCTGCTAATTGCAGAGTGAGACTCTCCAGTGTCTCCATCCAACAGACACCACCTCATCAGCACACCTACAGTGACACACAGCCACCTCCCTGTAAGAACTGAACCCCAACAGCTCAACCATGAAGGCCAGGGATTCCTGTGGAGCAAGAACTTCCTCTGGCAGAAGGTGTCAGCAGAACCAAGGCGACCTTTCCCAGACAGGAATAGAAACCTTATGTGGGAAAGTAGATGAAACAGCCAAAAGCAAACTTCAGTTTATCCTGTGCTGCCATGTTTTAGAAACACAAACCTATGGCCTCAACAGGTAGGCAGCAGCACGGATGACCCCTGAGCAGGAGGAGGACTGGGGACGAGATGGGCTGGAAACGAGATAGTGGGAAATGCACTCAGGAGTAAGGGGACTACCACAGGTAAAACAAGGTGTCCAAAAGCCCAGGGGACACATCTCAGAGGGGACTGGCAACCCTGCCCCTGCTCCATTGGCAGGTCAGAAGTTAAAAGCAGCACAGAGAGGACTCAAGGAGCTTGCACACAACCTGTGTTTTAACACCCCCAAACAAGAGCAGGGCAAAGAGCTTTGAGGAACCAACAACAAGAGCCAAGCCACACACTTGGAAAACATCCCCCTTCCCCCTGGCTGGCAGGGAAGCTGGGATTCCTCTCCAGGGTGGGCAGACAGCTGTGGTGAGAGGACATGTCCTGCTGCTCCCTTGCATTCCCTCCCAGCTAATCTGCCTCGACCAGCAGCTGAAGCCACAGCTAATCCTGCCCACAAGATCCCCCTGCACAGCTGTCATTCCCTCTTGGTCCCGTTAACACTGGCTTCCTGTTATTCTCCTGGCTTCCTTTGAAGAGCCTGTTTGTCTGTCTAAGAGCTAATGAGCAGAATACAACAGCCTATTTTTTGCCCCGTTTCAAGATTTTTCATGGGGATGTTTCCTGCAGAGCTGCTTTTCTCCTGCACATGATGAAGGTCAGCTGGCTGCTCGCTCAGAAAGCTTCACGTTTAAGGCAAGAGCCCTGCAGAGAGAAAAAGCTTTGCTTTAGAACTGGGCCACTGAAAGGGGATATGAGAGTGGTTGCAATAGTCACGTTGCAGAGCACACAGGTACCTGTGGAGGGAGGCTCACAGAGCTGATCAGCATCCCTCTGCACCAGTGGGAAGCACTGCGGGAGAGCTGTGGAGTGGAATCAGCCCTTTTTGTTCTTAACAGCTCAACCACAGATCTTGTCCAAGGAAAGATGAGGTCATGCCAGGCAACACCATTCCCAAATTGTACTGGACTGGCCCCCAGAGACTGACCAATTCTGAATCACCCTGCAATGGACAATATGTGCTAAGTGTTCTGAGATCTTTCACAAGGGTCTAATGCGGTACAAGCTCTAAAGAGAGACAGAAGAAGGATGTCCCGTTCACGCTGGGACACATCTTTCACCCTCACCAAACCGGGCCATTTCCCAGGACTGCTGCCCATGTGCTGGCTGAAAGAGCGAGAAGGCTCCTCAACAAGCCTGGAAACAAGAAAGAAACAGCCACTGGTGCCAGCTGTGGTGGGTCCATGCTGTACTGCTCGAAGCCACAGCCTCAGCAGGGCTTCCAAGTGCTCCAACAGGCCACGCTGAGCAGACCTGCCATGAAGAAAGCTCCTCACCCAGGACACAGAGAGCAAAACTAATCCAAAGGTCACCAAGTCAGAATAAAGACACGGATGCAGCTGTGATAACCGCTCACATTTGCTCCAACCACTTCCCTTTCCTGCAGGAATTGCCCAATCCTGCAGTTCATTCAAGCTATTGCTCACTTATTGCTTCAATTGGCAAGAAACCAGCACGCTGCCCATCTCTAAAGCTTGGGGTGATGCTTGATTGTGCCCTGGGCTGACGGGAGAGATGCTGGCAAAGGAGAAAGTGATGCATGGAGAATCTTCCAAAGCAGCCATTCATTCGGGGTGTGTAATTTAGGATCTCCCTGGATTTTCCAGACATGAAGAGCATGCATTCCACCCCTGCCCTCTTCCTAAGCTACAGCTGCTCAGCACATCTGCAGCAAAAGGGGACAAGAGCCATCAAATTCAGAGCTGCCTCAGTGACCCCAAGAGAGATGAGAATGAAAATTAGGTCTCAAGCCTGCTACTCAGCCCTCCCTGGGAGGAAGCAAGCCAGCCTTGTGCACACAAGTGTGGGGAATGTTCTGCTGCAGCATCACGGCGCTCTGCGGGGGCTGCAGGCTTGCGCAGAGCAGCTTGTGTGGGGCGGCATGCCAAGGTAAAGCAGCTGGCACTCCAGTTGCAGAGGGAACAAGGGAGGAGATTACAAATGGGAGGGTTTTTTAGCCTAAGAAAAGGCCCTTTTTATACCAGTGGTCTTGAATGGGTGAGAAAAAGAAAGTTTCCAGCTCTGAGAGCTCTGGCTGTGTGAGCTGCAGGGGTCCTGTGATGAGGTTCCTTCAGAGGAAGCAGCACCACAGATTCATGCCAGCTAATGCTGATGTTCTCACATGCCAACGTGCTGGGTGGCAGACAGCATCAGGAGAGAAACAGACACAGAATCACAGAATGGTTTGGATCGGAAAGGACCTAAAATCACCTAGCTCCAACCCCCCTGCCATGGGCAGGGACACCTCACACTAAACCACCCCTCAAAGGACTGACCAGCTGCAGCAGCACACAGCAGAGCTCAGTAGGGCTCTCCTACACATAATGGGGTCCTACTTATCTCCAAGCACACAAACAGCCTCATGGGAAGGGAAGCTCCCTTACCTGTGTCCTGCCGGAACTGTGTCAAGCTTGGGATGTCGATGACGTAGGGGGCCAAGACAGGATCCGCATGTCCCAAAGGGATGCTGCTGACAAGCCCCGATCCCGAACGCCGGCCCTTCTGCTGGGAGGCCTGAAAAACCTGTTCAATGTAGCTGCAGACATTTCCTCGGTACGGCCTCCACCTGCCAAACTCATCCTGCCATTCCCACACGGCCACCACTGGGGAATTGCTGCTGTGTCCTGGGGCAGAACCGGGGAGTCCGGATGGCCCGGCTGAACTGCTTCCTGCTTCCTGAGCTGCTGCCATGCTCCTCCCTGAGGTCTGGGCACACTCCAAGTGGCAGCTTCACACCATCTTCTTCTGGGGGACCTGCAGCAAGAAACAAGGAGAGCACACATGGCTGAGAATGGTGCCCCAAAGCCACCCCACCACACAAGCCATTTGAGAGAGGGCAACAAGCTCAGTCTTGCACAGAAGATGCTTGCTATGCATTTAGGAGACTGCAGAGAAGTGGATTGGCCTCAAACCCCTCTGGTTGAGGGCAAATGGGGTATCACCTCCCACCCCCTGCCAATGCTAGCAACTTTCCTTGTTAATTTAGAGCAAAAACTCTGGGGAAACTCTGCTTCCTGTAGTTTGTGGCACCAAACACTACCTGAGTCACTGTAGATCTGTACAAAACCAGTCCAGAACCACTGCTGATCTGTGGTAGGGAAATCTGTAAGTCCTGACCCGAGTTCAGGCACCCACTAGGCAGGATCATGCCAAGGCCACCCCATACTTCTCCCCACTCACACTTAGCACTGCTCCTGGTAGTGTTACACTGACCACCCTGATGTGAGCTACCAGCTTGGGAGCAGGAGCTCCCCAAGCACTCGTGCACATGAATAACTCGGTTATAACAAGCAGTGCCCAAACTCTTCTCACTGATCTGAGCTCTCACTGATCATCAGATCCATCCAGGCTTCTGACCAGGCAGTTTTGATCCAGGATCAGTCTCTTGACTCCTTCTGTGCAGTGTTATATGTGCACACAAAGCCAGAAGACAATTGTTTGCGCACTCTGCAAATCACAGTAATGCATCCATCGAGCACAATCCAAGTGAAGAATGGATGGGAAGAAGCACAGTAGCACTAGGAGGAACACAGGGTCTTAATAAGCAGCCTGTACTGAAGGCAGTGATTTAGCAGGTCCTTAGGACTGCACTACATCTAGCTGCAGCTTCTCAGGTTGGAAAACAAGGAACATCTTGAAACAAGGGACAATCTGCATCAACAAAGACTCAGGCCAAAGACTAAAGCCACAAAGAGATGATGTGGGGAAGAGAGAATGGAGTAGGAGCCTTAAGGCATCCAGGTAAAGACACAGAGGCCAGTGAATAAATCCTAAGGACTACGAGACAGGATGCAGAGACAAAAGACCACTCTTAGCCCCCAAGGGATGCAAAACCACAAAGCCATTGCACCATCACCAAGCTGTCCAAGAGACACCGTAAGTCTGATATTTGGCATTCCTTGTCTGCTTTGTCATTGCAAGGAATCCTATCCAGACCATCTGGACACACGTCTTGGTGCCCAAATGCTGGACAACCCCATGCTGTTGCTCACGAGCAGGTGGGTATGACTGTGAACGAGTGAAATTCATTTTGCCTCAAAATAAAGTCACCTTCTCCCCCTTCAGGTCTCACATCACTGACTGCTCACTTCACTCCCAGCAGGCAGCTATGAGCTTCCTTCCCATCCAATGGAGAAGTTCAGGTGCCCAAGAGGCAGAGCAGCAGTGGGTGGCTTCCACTGGAGGATGCCATCTGCACGGAGAATGACATCCCTGCCGGATGGGGAAGATCCCACGCTCCGTGGAGCGTCCCATCCATCATGCTCGTGTTGCTTGCTAGCTTAAAAAAGCAATAGAAGAAGAGCAAGAGGCGAACAGACGCACCCACACGTCTGCATTTACAAGAGGAAAGCAGCCCTTTCTCCAGGCATTCGATGTAAATTAGTTTATGAGCTGCTCCGAGAGCTCTACACAACACCCCCAGCTCAACCAGTGCTGGTGACAAACCGCTCCAGATCACCAGGAGAAGACCCTGGTCTCTGCAATGGATCTTCTCCATGGAATTCGCTCTCCCCTAACACACCACAGACAGTTATATTACTGCTCAAACCAGCAAGTTAAAACCTGAGGTGTCAAACCCAACACCTGCCTCTGCCAGTTCTTTTAATGGCAGGTTTCACACCAACACATCTCCAAAGGGACCACCAGCACGTCCATCCTTGGCTTGACCAGTGCAAGTCAAAGCGGAGCTGCAGGGTTCTCTGTCCCACCCACCTGCATGAGGTGCTCTGAACCCCAAAGAGAGAGCCAACACCTTTCTCCCCCCAAAGCTGTTGTTACCAAATACTCATCTTCCCATCCTACAGACAGGGACAGCAGAGGGAAGCTGTTTGGATGGAGTCAGCAATTTCTTTTCCTTCCCTTTTGAAGCACAGCAGCAGGAAATGGAAAAAAGAGAGCATCCCAACGGAAAAGCTGCCTCCGTCATGTCCCACCTCCACTCACTGGGACACTGGCTGGGTGACAACAGCCTCTTGCTCACCCCGGCTGGCAGTGATGCTTTGAATCCCAGACCACACACAAAGGTACCAGGGCTGGCTGCACGTGAGCATCGTGTGCTCCGACATTCACTTCCCCATCAGAGTGGAAAAGCATTTCCTGCGCTGGGAATGCTGCTCCAAAGGAGCGAGGGGAGTATTCCAGCCTCCTGCCAGTTCTCTACGCTCGAGCCAGCAGCTGTTTGCATGGATTGGGAAGCGAGGAATGCGGGAGAGCTTTAGTATGCCAGAATTACACGAGCCCCTGAGTTAAGGTAAACAAGAAGAGGGCTGAAGTTGCAGTTCCTTTCCCCATTCCCTGAATTCAGAAGCACGCAAGTATTAAGAGCTGAGAAATTCCATCCCAGAGCTGCTCATACAGCTTTCCCTTGGGCTCCCAGGTGTGTATGGAGATGTGCTACATATCCCGCTTCATCAGCACCGTGTCTGGGATGCTACCAGCAGTTCAGCTGCACCAGCTCCTTCACGCTGGCTCTGTCCTTGGAAGATTGGTGTCCCAGGGAGAGTAATTACACATCTTTCCTAAAATCCCATGGACTATAACACCTCACCATAAGCTTTAAAAATGCCTTGAAAAGCTACAAGTCATACCAACCACTAAAAGCGTTCATTCAGCAAACAGCCCTGGCTCCAATTAGAAATCCTATGGGCTACCTTGCTCCTAATGAAAACAAACCCCTGACAACTTGAAGTGCAAGTTTCAATATTCCAGCCAAATGCCCTTCACTTAGGAGGTAATCCAGAACAGGGCTCAGATGTTGACTTTGGTTTGGTTTGAGTGTATTTTGCACCCCAGGACAACCTCTGAAGCGTTTACCCACATGGCTTGAATCAGGGACTTGGACAGGAAAAGAACTGGGTGCGTTTCAGTTGTGTTTCCCAGCAGATTCACTCCCTGCTCCTCAAGCTCCAGCCAATGGTGGTGAGAAAGCTGGGGAGGGGCAGGTGGGAATGAAAGACATGTTTATTTCCCAAACCTGTTCTACTTCCAGAAAGCAGATTTTTCTTCTGCTTTAAATGTAAGATCTTAAAATTCATGGGTCTGAGACGATTTCTGAAAATGCCAAGTCCCTTTTTAAGTGTCTGAACTGAAACTGCGATGGAAGTTTCAGTGATGTGCTACTCGTACCCCAAAAAGAGAACACCTCAGGAGCTGCATTAAGAAAACACAAATCACCAGCGTGGCAAAGCAAACTTTTCAGCAGTCAGCTCAGAAAAGAGGGTGCCCAGGAGGGATTTGTCAAGTGCCACTAACACCACATGAGAGACGGGACAAGGAGGGCTACAAAGAGCCCACGGGAAAGGATTACACATGGATTAGGAGCGCAGATAAAGCACAGGGAGGCAGTGAGGCTGTAACAAGCCCGTGGCCCTGTGCAGGGGGCACAACTGGAGCAGCATTACAGGTGTCCTGTGCCTCCCTGACCCCAAACCACCCAGCCAGAGCCCCCCAAAACCCCTTACATCTTCTGATCTACACTTCTGGGCCCAGCACAACCAGACCTGTGAGCACTGTAACAAAGTCCAACAGTGGCAACAGGGTCCAAAGCTCCTGCCAGGTACCTCGTATCTAAACACATACACGAGCACCCAGCGCTATTAGCACACAGTCAGAGCAAGCCAGGAGCACGACGAGAGCACGGCAGCAGTGAGGAGGTCACAGTAACAACTCCAACCACACAGATTGATCAGTCCTGCCTTCTTCCAGCCTCTGCTGACCCTCGCAGCACAGGGCGGCTGGGCTGACAGCCGAAAGAGCAGAAGAAATAAAGCCCGACAGCTCCAAACCTGTACTCCTTCCATTCAAAACAAGCTTCAAGAGAGTTCCCTTCGGAGCGGGGAATAAAGCCTGTGGCTGCAGCAGAACAATGCGCTCGCCTATCAGTTAAGCAGAGGGCAGGAATCGGAGAGCTGGGGTAAGAACACCCCAACTCGCTGGCTCCGGAGTGCTGCTGAGCACTGAAGTTCTGTTCACCCACGGGGTGCAAACCTGGCACGGCCGGGACGGCTCCGGCTCCGGCTCCACC